CTGTATCTACAGTGAGCAGCTTTATACAAACCTGAACAGGCAACCCTGACAACAATGGCAGAGGGCAGAGGGCTCGCCTGCACTATCCTTCTTTTAGAGATGACGTTCCCTCGCAGATGTGCTGCAACTGTGGCTACCATGCACAAACCATTTCTCATATGATCACGCTTCCATAATAGCAATTATGCTGATATACATATGCATGATCTTCAACAAGCAAAAACCAAAGCAAAGGTCACATTATTTGAAATTAGCACAGGTGAACTGGTTGTATGAGTGTGCCCACAATCTGGGATGCTGATCAGTAAGAGTACAAAAGCCCAAGACAACTAATAAACCAGAGAACCGGCTGTGCCATAGGTACAGAAAAAAGAAGTGGGTTGACGAAACTCCCCGGAATTGGCTTTCGTTTCGTTCACAACTTCATCCGTGCTATAATTTCAAATACTAAAGTGCATCGTAATCCATTTTACTGGAGAATCTTGTACCAGGCATGGAATATCAATGGAGGACACTATGAACAGTAGGTTTTCAAGAGAAACTACCACAGTGCTTCAGTGTGTTTGGATGAAGTTGTGAACGAAACAAAAGCCAAGTCCAGGGAGTTTCGTCAACCCACTTCTTTTTTCTGTACCTATGGAAGAAAAAAATATATGTAATAATGTGGATGTGTTATTAGCTATTATAAAATAACATTGTTAATACATTATAGAAATTTCATTGCATTTCATCCCAAGCGCTGAGTGTCAGCAAGTTCTCTGGTTGATCAGTAAGAGTAGGCTGTATGCACAATGCTTCGTTCGGTGGCTTACACAATATTTTATTCCCCCCCCCCAAGTGATACTGGCCAGGATCCTAAATGCTTAATGTCAATTTCTATGCACACCAGGGGGCCTTTCACCCTTTTCCAGAGGCGGCTGTGTTGGGTGTGCTCCGGAGCAGCACCCTGTGATGCCTCAGGATCTGCCATCGGATGAGAAAACTGACCAATCCGCAGGCACGCACAGAAGCAACACGGGCACTTAGGCCTCGCTCTGTTGAAGACATCATGTACCTTCACTTTTACATACTGTTTGACAAAGTCTCTCGTCAAAGGATCATAAGAAGACTTGACAGTTAAGGGAACAGGTTAAGGCTGCCAGCTCTGGATTGGAAGATTCCTGGAGATTTGGGGGCAGGGTACCCAGGGGTTCCCCGGCTAACTCTGTTCTAACTCAAGCTCCTACCCAGAAAACCAGAGACCCCAGTCTGGAACATCTGTGCATCCACTCTCACACATGAGATATGATGAAACTTAAAAGGAAATAAGTTGTTTACGGCTGAATACCCCACAAGTTCAAAGGCACTTCTTCCCCTAGAGACTTAACATGCTATTGAAATTCTGTGTTTATGAAACTTACGGCCACTCCTTGGATGGCTATCCAGGTCCTGTGTGATTCCTTCTACAGTTCCCTGCAGCTTGAGAGAACCGCAATAGGCTGGGTCTAGTCGGTGACGGCACTTGCAGACGAATTCTTAGAGCTTGCGTGGTCTCTGCCGGTCACTGCTTATAATGGCGCAATAGCTGGAGCACCCCACATGTGCAATCTCTGCAAAGAGCTGGGCAAGAAGAGCCCACCTAGCTCAGGATTTCAGTGCTTCATCTCCAAAAAGACAGCTCGCACTCTTCCCAGCCACCTTCAGCCTCTCCTAAAAAAACGGTCTGCCAGCTCTACCTTGGGAACACCCCCATGTGTAAAATATTCTGAGCAGGAGCCCTGGGGCATCAGAGACACGCCCACAATACGCATCATCACACTGCTCCCGGTCAGGGCGAGCATATCCTTCAGTCTTCTTTCTTTCTTTCTTTCTTAAGCTGGCATCATAGGGAGTCTTGTAAACAGTACTTTTGTCATTGTCGTCACCTACATCTGCCAGTGTATGTAAGTTACGTAATGCGTATGTAAACTGCAATAACCCTCCCTTCAGTCTGCTGTTGTTGTGAGCAATGTAGCCACACTGCAGCTTCGGGCGTGGAGCCATACTGCCACAGATTTGACGTGCACTGAGCAATTGGCACTCTCCTTCCGTAAAATAATGTCATGCCAGTCAGTTTGATGCCATACTCGTGGCTGAAACTGAAACTTCTGGTGGCGGTGACTTTATACACCCTGGCCAATTTGTCATGTAAGACATGCCATCTCAAAGAGAACGTGCACCTTCTGAGCCAGTTTGCCAAATTGGTCACAGACATTTTGCACTAATGCTCCTTGCATTTTTGTGTACAAACACCAGTGGTCTCCAGATGGCTTCAGAGGAGTTGCCCCTCCCACATTAATAAACATCCCCCTCCCCTCTGCAGACATTACACAAAGTTGGAGTACCCCACCCTATGCTTTTGATCAGCCTCACACAGAAAAGGGGGGAAGTATAAGGTGGATGAAGGCCATGTTCTTGTTCTGCTTGAAGTAATAATAATAATTATTGTGTGGAAGTGTGTGTAGTATAGCCAGGAGATCCTAAGATTGTCTGGCAGCCAGAAGTTCTAGCTCCTTTATTTATTTATTTATTATATTTATACCCCGCCCATCCTGCGAACAGGCTCAGGGTGGCTAACAAAGCGGTGCAATGTACCTAATTGGCATAACCATAAAAATTATTAAAACTACATAGAACACATACTCATTCAAGACATAAATTAACAATTAGCAGTAAAGTTCTTGCAGTACTGAAGATTAGATGGCATGCTTCCAGATCTAAATCCACGTTGTTCGTCTAATCATCATCCCTCGTGCCAATAGGCCTAGCGATACAACTGGGCCAGACCTAGGATCCAGACATTCAATAGGATCATTGATGGTGACAGTAGTGGCGGCTCCTATTTAAAAGCCTGGTGGAAGAGCTCCGTCTTACAGGCCCTGCAGAACTGTAAAAGGTCCCGCAGGGCCCTGATCTCCTCCGGGAGCTCGTTCCACCAGTAGGGAGCCACCACAGAAAAGGCTCTGGTCCTGGTACTGGTGAGCCTTGCATCCTTGGGGCCTGGAATAGTCAATCAATCTTGGGCCATTGACCATAGTGCTCTCTGGGGTACATATGGGGAAAGGCGGTCCCTCAGGTAGGTCGGACCCTGGTCATGTAGGGCTTTAAAGGTAAGCACCAGCACCTTGAAATGAATCCGGTATGCTATTGGTAGCCAGTGCAGTGACCTAAGCACTGGCTGGATGTGCTCCCGACGTGGGAGATCCATCAGCAGCCTGGCTGCGGCGCTCTGCACCAGCTGCAGCTTCCAGATTTGGGACAAGGGCAGCCCCATGTGGAGAGCATTGCAGTAGTCAAGTCTCGAGGTGACCGTCGCGTGGATCACTGTTGCCAGGTCGCGGCGGTGAAGCAAGGGAA